AAGAAGAGAGAAGAGATGAGAACACATAAGGTGAGCTTACATGAGCTGCGGAGAGCTGAGAAGAGTTGAGAAGGGCTGTGAAAATGTGAAAACATGAGATAAGCTGAGATGAGATGAGAAGAGATGACAAAAGCTCAGGTAACATGAGGAGAGATGAGAACAGTTGTGATCAGCTGAGAAGAGTTGAGAAAAGGAGAGAAGACATCAGATGAGATGAGATGAGATGAGGTGAAAAAACTCAGAAGGCATGAGATGAGTTGAGATGAGATGGGATGACGCAGACTGCGGTGACAAAGGGATGCAATGAGCAATTTCCAAGAGAAGCTGCGATGCGATGAGATCAGATGAAATGAGGAAAGATTCAACATTCGAAAGGCATGTGAAGCGAAGCGACATCTGAACCTCCAAAAGTGGTCCGAACCCCTAGTGTTTTGAACATTTTCACTTCGAAATGTGCTTCGCGCCACAATGGCGTGCACTTTTTCGACATCTCAACCTCCAAAAGTGGTCCGAACCCTAGTGTTTTTAACATTTTGACTTGGAAATGTGCTTCGCGCCACAATGACGTGCACTTTTTCGACATCTCAACTGCCAAAAGTGGTCCGCACCCCTAGTGTTTTGTACATTTTGACTTGGAATGACTTGGAAATGTGCTTCGGCGCCACAACGGCATGCACTTTTTCGACATCTCAACCTCCAAAAGTGGTCCGAACCCCTAGTGTTTTGTACATTTTGACTTGGAAACGCGCTTCGCGCCACAACGGCGTGCATCTCAACTGCCAAAAGTGGTCCGCACCCCTAGTGTTTTGTACATTTTGACTTGGAAATGTGCTTCGCGCCACAATGGCGTGCACTTTTTCGACATCTCAACTAGTAAAAGTGGTCCGAAGCCGGTGTGTTTTGTACATTTTGGCTTGGAAATGTGCTTCGCGCCAAAACGGCGTGCAATTTTTCATCTCTCATCTGGCCAGCTGGCTCCGCACCCGCCGCTTTAGCGAGCCTACTTTTCGACCCTCCGGGGCGTCAAATCATTGGAAAAACACAGTGCTTCGCGACTTTCCTACCTTTTCGCGCATCTGCATCTTCTTTCTTCTGACTCTTTCTCTTCTACTCTTCTCTCTTCTAATCTTTCTCTTCTCTCTGACCCTTTCCATCTCTGCTTTTCATCTGTCCATATTGTCGGGAGTTTGACTTCTAAACTTCCTTCGATAAAGGGAAATTAGGAAAAACTGGCCGCCTCTTGCTTTGGAAATGTGCATGGGGAAGTTGCATGACTGACCCATGGACAAGTCTACTATCATGGACGTCCCTGACAAGCACAACGGGCGACAGCAGGGAGACGCTTTGACACGGAGACCCACTAGAAGGAAATTCTTTTGCACGTCCCAGCGCCTAGGGGAGGACCACAAGGGGACAAATAAGGACAAACCAAAAGGAGAGCCTTTAACAGGAGATTCCTTAAATGCAAGCAAGACTATTCTCACAAATTGGGGCTCCTCAATGTCCATGTTAGTCGGCCCACTGCAGTTTGGAGGGCTGCCCATGGAGGTCTTGGATTGGGCCCGGGTTGAAGTTGGGACTTTTTTGCTGTTTGAATAGAGAAATTGCACCAACATGCACCAACTGGCAGCCTCTTGTTTGGGGAATTTGCAGCAATCACGGCCGACAGACTGATGCAAAGGCCACTAACATGGACGTCCCTGGCAAGCACAGCGAGCAACATCAGGGAGAGAATTTCACAGGTTGGACAGAGCCCTCACAGGAGATTCCTGAATGTGATCCAAGCTATTCTCACACATTGCTCCCCTCAACGTCAATGTTAGTCGGCCCACTGCAGTTTGGAGGGCTGCCCAGGGATCATAGTTGTTGACACCGTCACAGCTCACCAAAATGAAAGCTTTGGAGGTCCGAGATTGGGTCCGGGTCGAAGTTGTGATTTTTGAAGCTGTTTTAACCATTTCTATAAAGAGAAATTAAGCAAAACTGGCCGCCTCTTGCTTTGGAAATGTGCATGGGGAAGTTGCATGACTGACCCATGGACAAGTCTACTATCATGGACGTCCCTGACAGGCACAACGGGCGACAGCAGGGAGACGGTTTGACATGGAGATCCACCAGAAGGAGATTCTTTTGCACGTCCCAGCGCCTAGGGGAGGACCACAAGGGGACAAATAAGGACAAGCCAAAAGGAGAGCCTTTAACAGGAGATTCCTTAAATGCAAGCAAGACTATTCTCACAAATTGGGGCTCCTCAATGTCCATGTTAGTCGGCCCACTGCAGTTTGGAGGGCTGCCCATGGAGGTCTTGGATTGGGCCCGGGTTGAAGCTGGGACTTTTTTGCTGTTTGAATAGAGAAATTGCACCAACATGCACCAACTGGCAGCCTCTTGTTTGGGGAATTTGCAGCAATCACGGCCGACAGACTGATGCAAAGGCCACTAACCTGGACGTCCCTGGCAAGCACAGCGAGCAACATCAGGGAGAGAATTTCACAGGTTGTACGGAGCCCTCACAGGAGATTCCTGAATGTGATCCAAGCTATTCTCACACATTGCTCCCCTCAACGTCAATGTTAGTCGGCCCGCTGCAGTTTGGAGGGCTGCACAGGTATCATAGTTGTTGACACCGTCGCAGCTCACCAAAATGAAAGCTTTGGAGGTCTGAGATTGGGTCCGGGTCGAACTTGTGATTTTTGAAGCTGTTTTAACCATTTCTATAAAGGGAAATTAGGCAAAACTGGCTGCCTCTTGCTTTGGAAATGTGCATGGGGAAGTTGCATCACTGCCCCAGGGACAAGTTTACTATCATGGACGTCCCTGACAAGCGTAACGGGCGACAGCATGGAGACGGTTTGACATGGCGATCCGCCAAAAGTTCAAAATCGATGCAGCTCCACTAACATGGACGCCGTAAGAAGCCAAAAATCTTACTATGAATGTCCAAGAAGGGATTCGATCAACCAGAAAGAGAATTGAATTTGATCAGAAGACACCCTCTGGGAAACTAACAGTTTGCCATCGAAAATTGCCCGTTTAATTATTTCTGATGTACCTAGGACAAATCACCCCCTTGGGGACCATCCGACAGATCAAGTTGGAAGACCCAGGGCTGCTGTTGACCATCAGCTGATGAAGCAGGGGGTATTTAATTACTCTCCGGATCCCTGAGATGGACGTTGAAAATTGAGAAAATGTACGCTATGTTAGTTGTTAGTTGTTTTTATTACTTTTGTCAGCTTTGGAAGCGTCACAGTTCCACTAACATGGACACTCGATGAGGTTTTTTGAACAGTATTCAGCTAACATGGACGCCGTAAGAAACCAAAAATCTTACTATGAATGCCCATGTTAGCTGAATACTGTTCAAAAAAACCTGTTTGTGTGTCCATGTTAGTGGACCTGTGACATGTGTCACGCTAACATGGACGCTTCCAAAACTGGCAAAAGTAAGAAAAACAACTAACATAGTACGTGCGTGCATTTTCTCAATTTTCAGCGTCCAAGTCAGGAAACTGGAGAGTAAATACTACCGCCAACCTGTCGCAAAAAAAAGGGTAGGTCAATGTACCTCGCATGCGGCAAGCAACTCGAGTTGGTCTCTCACCCCCTCGCATCTGCATCGCCACACCCTAAACCTGACTGGATCGCATGTGGTCTAGCCATCTTCAGCTCCAAACAATACATGAAACAAACATGGTAAAGCATCTTCAACGCGAAGCCCACCTGATCAGATCAGCCGTTAAGGTTCAGCATGGCTCTTCCCCTCAGGCCATATCACCCGCAGCGCTTCATCCATCAGAAGCTTCACCCAAATCGGACAGAAAGTTCAAGCATCTTCAATGCGACGCCCACCAGACCATTTTCGCCGCTGACGTTCAGCATGGTTTATCCCATACCAAGACCCTTAAGCCCTACCGTCGCTAAATTGCCACCTGGTACATGGCCTGGAAAAATTCTGTGGTCTTTCCCGCTTCGGCAGTTGCTACAGCTACATTCAGCTACCCCCCCAGGCCCCCTAATAATCATTAATAATCACTACGTTCGCAAACAACAACTCAGCCTTGCCTGTCGGCTGGCTTTCGCAATATACCCACAGCACGTGCGCTACGCCCCGCAGGATTTCTTTAGGGTTTGTTTGGAGTTTCTTTAAGGTCTCATCTCTATTGTTTCTGGCGGGTTTATTTAGAGTATCTTCAAAGGTTTCTTTAAGGCTAATTTAAAGGTTTCTTTAAGTTTCTTAGGGTTTATATGCCCATAGCACGGCGCACGTACAAAAAGGGTGTCAAAAGGGTGTAAAAAGATGCAGAAAAGAGGCAAAAAACATCAAATAAACAAATTGTTCCCAGGATTTTGGCCGCGGGTTCATGGGGACGTCAGGTCAACTGACCTAGAGCCATCTTGCCGTTCGATCTTCAACAACGAAGTCAGAGTAAGGGCACCAGAAATGAGGGTCTGTCAATCATCCCGAAAGACGTGGGGGCAAAGCCCAAGTGCTGGCTATAAATATAGACGCCGAAGGTTCTTTGGAAGCCTTTGGATGATGAGGGAGAACTGGAACCTTGAAAAATAGAATGTTGTGAGTTGTGAGTGACAAGTGGGGGAGTTGTGTTGCTTTGGACTTTCTGCACCTTGTCCTGCTTCCGCTGTGTTTTCGCAACTCTCAACCCCATCGCATCTTGCAGCCCTGAAAATCCCAGAGCTTTCCACGCTACAGTAACTCAGCAGGTCCAAGTGGGAAATCTATGGCCGTGAGATCCTGTGAAGTGGGATTTGATGGTGTGAACTTGCAAAGCAAAGCAAGCTACTTTCAGCCATCGGGCACAGTTGCTTTCAAATTCATCTGCTCCTGCCAGAAACATGAAGCTACAATAAGCTACATCTACATCTACATCTACATCTGCATCTGTCTGAAAGCAGCAAGCTATTTGTTGGACCGACATACGTCAACATTATCATTGATGGTATAAAGATGTATAAAGTTGCAGGCCAGAACATGTTTTGATGAGGCGAGTTCAGTAAGCCGCGCAAAAAAGGACATTCACTGCACTTTGTGCAAGCTGAATTGATGCACATGAAAAGTGAAACATACATAATCCTTCGCTGCTTTCGCCGTGCTAGGAACCCTCTTGCCCTTCCTCCTCTTGCCCTTCCTCCTCTGAGCTGGCGGTGTTTATGTTCAATGCCTTTGCTGCCGAAGGCGAAAGGACACCAGAGTGGGTGACATGCTTCACATTGCGGCGAGAATTTTTCTTTCGAATTCGGTTGTCTGCCTTCCGAAGAGTTGGCGAGACATCATCTTCCGTTTTCTTGTCATCTTCATCTCCTTCAGAGAAGAACATATTTGAGCCTGCTGCCTCTCCTCCGTATTTTTCAAAGAGTTTTTGCAGCAGCTCATCGATGCCGTTTTGCACTGTTGGGCTTGGTCTAGTCATCATATTGTCCGTCAAGGAGCGGATGTGCACTGTCTGTCGGGTGGGCGAATGGTCTTGATCTGCTTCTTGAGGTGCAGCATCTTTACCTTCCTGGACATCTGGCTTTTCCTCCTCAAGAGCGGGAACGTGCAGTATATAATGAAAGTGAACACAAACTGCTGCATTGGATTGCATTGGTGCTGGGAGTCTTGAATAAATGTCCCTGTGCTCTGTGTTCATAGTTAATCTGCTCTTGGACATGGTTGGCGAAGGACAATGCACGTGCCCATTTCTGCCAGAGTCGCTTTAGTGAGGTACACCATGCCAGGAAATGAAGGGACAACACAAAACGTTGTGCAATGGCGTGAAATTTGCAAAATTGAACTGGCCCCACAACGCCAATCGCAGCTGGAGAAAACCTGCTATATAATGCTATATATATATATTATAAAACGATTTGCCAAGGCAAAAAAAAGGCATTTGATGGTGAGGACACTTGTCACGATGTTGCACGGGGAATGATGGCAATAGTGATGGTCATGGTGACATTGACGTTGAAGTTGATGGTACTGGCGATGGGTAAGACGGGGAAGATGGGCAAGACGGGTAAGATGGGTCTGGGATGGTGGTGATGATGATGATGAGAATGATGAGAATGAAATATGATGACTGGGATGGCTGCGGTTACCAGGATGACGGCGAAATGGTGGTTAGATATTTACCGGCAACATGTAAGGACAACATTTGTCCTTGTATAATATTATATAATCTTATATGTTGCCGGTTGATGATGGTTGTATATAGCCAGCCGAAATTAGACACTCTACACTGTAAGGCTGCCAGAAACGGTGTGATCTCAATGTGGGCGGGCACTTGAAAAATAATGAAACATATTCCACCAAAAAATATATCTTCGTTAACCACCTCCACTACCGTTACCCGCCAAGCTCCTTGTCTGGTTCAGGCCTGTTGACGATGAATGTATGTTCAAGGAGTTCCTTGGCAGACCTTCTTTGCTCCACATCCCTGCAAAGACTCGAGCGGATAAATCCCATGAGCTCCTCGGAACAAAGAGTCCGTTCTGCCCTTTCTGTTGGGATGCACAGGGATGGATGGTCTTTGCTGATGGCCTCCTTCATCGATGCAGAGGTCTGCTCGGCAGGGGCGTAGGGAAACTTGCCAAATGCAAGCAAAAATGCAACTGCACCCAAGGACCAAATATCCACCAAATAGCCATATCCGAGGTTTTTCAGCATCTCTGGAGCCATGTACGGTGCTGTGCCATACACGCCCTGCAGCTTGCCACCAGCTGGCATTGTAGCAGCCAACCCAAAATCACAGAGTTTCAAAACGCTATGATCCGGACCTCCCCAAAGAAAGTTGTCTGGCTTGATGTCGCGGTGTACTATATTGGCAGTGTGGGTGTGCAAGACTCCTAAGGCCATCTGCTTGAAGATGTCCGACAAGTCTGCTTCTGTCAAGCCGTCCACTGTCATGTCCAGCATTGACCTCTTGCACCTCTCGCAAACCATGTAGTACAAAGAGTTGTCTGAGAAGGCTCTATGGAGCCGCACTACATGCAAGCATTCCTCACTGCCAACCCGCTTCCACAAAACGATCTCATCCCGTGTTGCTTTGTTCCTAGTACGGCTAATTTGTCCCGTACACACGCCGGACTTTTCATCATAGTGCCTTACATCAACAATTTTCACTGCCAGCTCTGTGCCTTTGGCTTTGTCTTTTGCAAGCCTCACCTGTCCGAAAGTTCCCTGACCAAGCTTTTTGCCAAGTTTGTAGCTCTCATAGAAGTTCACCTCGACAATGTCTGTTTCTGAGGGTGCTTTGCCTTGGCAGGGAACTTCTTAGTCGCAGAGCTGAAAGCTACACTCAAACGGAAGTGGGTACAAGGTCCCCATCACCTTGTTACATGAACGTCAAATCTGCCAAAACCAGTAAGAGAAAGCCGTCACCAACCACCACCACTTGAAGATTGATCATGGGCAGGGTAAGCACAGAGTATAGACTAAGTACTGTAGGGGGTTTTCTGTCTGCAAGTTGCGTCTTCTGCCTCGTGATAAATAGTGCATGCATAGACCAATTCATATCCTCTCCCCCTTTCTCTCTATTCCCTCTCTCTCCCTCTCACATAACAAGAACAGAACAAGACAGAACAGAACAGAACACGACACGGCATGAATCGGCATGACATGACATACGTGACGTGGCTTGACGTGACATATCATACAGTACCGTACAGTACACTACACTGGACTACAATACTACAACACAATACAACGCATAAGTTTGAATGTACACCCTGCAGGTACGGTCTGGTATATATATATATATTACCGTATGTATATAGATATATACACATAGTTATACATATATGATATATGTATATTATATATTGTGTGTGCGTGTTCACATGCATATGTATGATAAATAACAATATGTATACATCTATAGAGGGCATAGTTAGTGGCACACTATACTGCAGGCAACAAAAAGTTTCCAAACTTTGCTCTGCTGCGTGTCTGTCCAAAACTAAACTCAATACAAGTGACAGGCACCACATCCCATCGCCTTGTTTGGGGGCTCTACTGATTGACAGTTGAAACTCTTGAGCCGCACCTGTGATCGCAAAGCTCACAAGTCACTCACGTCAGCAACATCACATGTGCTTTGCATAAATAAGGTGCCTCCTAGATCCTCCTAGGGTTTCTCTAATACGTCCCTACACCATACAGGTCCCGTTCCGTACGGACTCAACAGCAACAGGCCAGGACCACATGAGTCACGTGAGGATAAAATTTGCAACACATGGGCAGTCACAGCAAGACATTTTTGACTCAAAACTATTTTTGAGCATTTTTGAAGTATCCAGCGTGCAGTCTTTGTGCAACGGTAGCTTTCCTCTTGGCTCCCTTTTGTCATTGAAAAGGAGCCAAGCCAAATTCAGCATTCAGCGGATTTGTATTTCGTTGTTCAGAGGTGCATAGTCGCGTCCGGGATTGCAACTATTGCCTTATTATGCGGTGTAATCTGTTGATCGATGAAGTCAATTGATACAGTGTATCCAATTCGTTCCAGGAAGCTGATCCTTGCAGCATCTACTGCTTCTCTGCCGGCTTTGTTTACTGCTCCCCTTTCCAGCCACGGAAAGCGATCCCAGGAAAAGCTGGGAGCATTTTGCCTCGCGTTCACTTTTGGCTTGAACGGATAGCAACATGGCAGAAGGATCATTGGCCTCAAGGTTTGGAAACTTGCGGCAGCTATAGCTTCATCACTGAGCAAACCACATGCGTGACAAGCAACCACCACCGACTCTGTCGGCAAAGCAACAGGATCCGCAGGGCCGACGGGGCGCAAGTCTGCAGTTTTCCAGTGAATTCTTTCTTGCACTTTGTGAAATCGGCTGGCGACTTGCTTGTGCAGCTGAGCTGCAAGTCTAGACTGGCACCGATCCATAGCAAGAACCTTCCTCTGTGAATGCATTAAAGCAAGGAAGAGGCCCACCAAACCACAGCCAGCACACAGGTCAACTATGTCCAAGTGCTGTGCAGTCGGCCAAGTGTGCCGATGCACAAGGCGCGCCACTGAGAAGCCCTCAAAAAGTTCTTTGTGTTTCATCTTGTCCGGCATTGTGCGGCCAATTTGCGCTGCAACATCGCAAAGCAAGGGGCTTGTGTCACCTCAACGTGCTGCTAATCTTGATGAAATCACATGGCCGGAGGCATAACTATGAGTACCATTCACAACATTTCAAAACTCGTTTCAATATGCTTCCATTGTTTAGCTTTCAATTGAACTGTTGACCATCGTTGACTTTATTGTATGCTGGATTGCATTTATTCCGCACCTGGCCTGATGCCGCGCAATTGATGAAGCTGCGGATATCACCAGTCACCACCCTGTTGCTCGAATTCCGTTTCCATTTTGACACAGGCATTGCATGACGTGGCAATGCTGCCAGTGCATGTGCAAGTGATGCCACAAACGTTGTGAGCATCAACTGGCGAAGCATTTTAAGAATGGGCCAGGTCTTTGCCAATGCCTTCCATGACGGTGCTCAAACCAAGCGGCTCTTTGGCATGGCCATCGTATTGACAGGTGTCGAAAATGGCTACACTGTTGCATCCCACTCAGCTTCACCTGAGCCAAAGCACTTGAATCAGTAGCCTCGTCCATACTTCCCCGCCACAGCTTCACCTCATCCACCAAACGGAACGTCTCGTTGTTGATGGGTATGGGACATGTTGGCATTGAAGTATCGAAGCTTGTGCATGGTACGAAAGCTTGTCATCGAACATCGAACTACAATAGCAAAATTAGGCAAAATGACGCGCACATACTTGTGCAGAATTAGACCCGGAGGAGCATCCTTAAGGTGATAGGTTTGTAATAGCTGCAAATGTGGCAGCATGGTAAGCCTGTGGTCATGCGATGTCATGCTTCTGCACATTGCTGCAATCATCTACCAGACTTGGCACCCGCTTTTGGACCTGCCAAGACCATCTGGTTTGCAAAGGGGGCAACAAGGCAAATGTGAATCCAAGCGCCTTACTTGGGACAAGGCCAGAACTGCAACCCAGTTGAGGAACACAGGGGACAAAGATGGACGAAGTAAAAAAAGGACACAATAAAGTCAGCTCACAAAATGACAGCAACCCAAACCCCAACATAGCATCATCTACAGTCAGGGCACCAGACTCTGGAGCAGAAAACACGACCAAAATCGACCAAAAGCAAGAAAAAGGGTGCTATACATGTTATATAAGGTTATATACTTAGCAAAATATGTTGCGATTTTGATATCGGAACACGCTTGAACCACTTGGGTGTGAATGCGGGCTTTCCTCTGTGAAAACTATTTGGAACCAATAAGTCTGCCGCCAATGCTCCTTTAGGAAGGAATCTAAAGTGACCACAATAAATGGCCAAACATGGCCAAAGTTCAAAGCGACTAATTACTGTCGAATCCATCACCAAGGGAGGCGTTGGAAACCATAGAAAGCCAACAAGCAAATGTTCATGGGGTGGCGAATGCCTGACGTAGTGAAGGGTAGGATACGACACGATACGATACCGCACCGCACCATTGCGAATCAAGGATTGCCATGCCTTGAAATCCCAAGCGTCAATCTTTTGAAACCGAAGACCAAAAAGAATAAAACAGATGAAGTCGATTACAAAGCAAGCATCTCTTTTTGAACGCATCGCAGTCACCAACGAACTCTACTTTCCCGAGGTTGCTGGAAGTTCAGAGCCTTTCAGGAAAAATGAACTGTTCAGAGCCTTTCAGGAAAAATGAACTGCAAGAAGGAAAATTGCGATGATTGGAAAGAGAAGCTGCTTGAAAATGACCCACTTGGTATTGTAATGGTTGCAGCCCCTGGGCACCAGGCTTTGTGGACGTGCGTTGGCCCAAAGACTGAGCACCTTGGGCAAACAAAAGCAATGTGCGCACCGCTGCGTACCTGTGCAAAGGTTAGTGAAGTTTTGTGATATCACCTGAGGATACGTGAGGTAACTGGGCCTCAAGCTATTGTGTAAGCCAGAGTCAATGCCGCAAAGCAAGCCACCTGATACCTGCACTGCAGGGCTGTAAAACAGCAAAAAACTCGTCACCCCAAGGCAGCTGGCCTGACGGGAGCCAGAGCATATATCAGGGCAACCTCAGTCTATTCCCAGAACATAATGCTGTGCTACATAGGAGAGCGCAATGCAGTTGCAGGAATCTTGGGCAAGCTCGAAGGGCAACGTGAAACCATAGTTGCCACGCAAAAGCTCCAAAAAATCTCGTTGAACCTGTGGCACGTTGGTTTGACAGCTGCTGGGCAAGGATGCCAAGAAGAGTTTTAGCTTGCTCGGCCCAGCCTCTGCTACACCAGCCTGCAGTCCTCTGCCTTCCAGAACTGCCATGACCTGCTCATCATATGGCATCACATTGTTAGATGATATTTATTAAAAAACAAATCAAAAATAAATCCGGCAGGCTTGAAATTGCACAGCACAAGTCATGAGAGTAGCCCTGAGGACACAGCCATCAGGAAGGCAACGCACCAGCATGGTGTGTATCTTGGCCCAATCAAATACGGCTAGATGTCTCAACAACAAGCCGCGGCAGTCAAGCCAGGCTCCTTGATTCGTCCTTCGCGTCTTCGGAGTCTGCTCGCGCAACACTATCAACAGCTATCAAATGGATATAGAGGATGCCTGAGCCTGTTGCAGCAGTGAATCTGCCAGGACCTTTGCCACAGTGTCCAAGACCTCGATCAGTGTTGCTCGTGCAGCTCCATGCGAAGGGGGTGGCAGTTTGCATCAGTTGCCATGAGGTTTTCGCCAAGTCCCCTGTCTTAGGGGCAGCATCCAAAGCTTCAAACCAATGATGGCCTGATGGCTTTCTGCATTCATGTTGTGCAGCACTTGCAGTTGCTTTCCAGTCATGCCACCCACAGGGAGCTACTGTACAGTCCCTGCGAGTCACATCGAGTCACCAACCCAGGCAATCTCTGCCTGCAAAGCCATCCAGTGAGCCGAAGATTGCATAGCGCAGCACTCTTGCTGAGGAAATTCTGCTGTCCTCACGATCAGTAGACAAGAATAGCGAGAACGACAAGTCTGGTGGAAATTGCGAGGCCGTGGGTTGAGGTTGGAAACAAGCAATGCAAAGCTGCACAACGGATCTGAACTGAACAAGCACCCTCTGTGATCTGACGCTGCTGACTCCTCCATCTCGGATCTCAATTTGGATAGCAAATTTCTTCATCGAAACCTACCTCAAGCACCTCCCAACAACTCTCGGACACAGGCATAGCGGCATAGCATCTCAGCAACTTATCAGTCTTTGGTCTCAGATGACTGGGCCACAATGTCCGAAGCAGCATTGAGCGTTGCTGCTGTCGCAACATCCTTGAATCCATGGCTGAAAAGGCAAGGCTTCAAAATGTTGAGGCTTCAATCCAATCCTTATAAATTTTGGATTGAAAAGGTACTTGTAAATCAAATCATGAGATCAAGAGAGGACCTACTGCCTGCCTTTCTGTGGCGGCTGTAGCTGAGGCAGCTTCTGTTGCAACTTCTGCA